AATCAAAATTTTACTAATTACGCTTTACATGAATGATTGATTAAAATAACTTTTTGGAAACGAAGAGAACTTGATTAAACAAATGATATTTGTAGCTTCAATAATGAATAGATCACATAATTTAATCTCATAAAATAGAAATTAAAAAATTTTATTTGTAAAAACTTTTTCATATTATTAGTGTCTCTGACACCAGCCACAGGAAAAAGCTGCCGCCGCACATTTTCCATAGCATCCCTTATTTAAACCGCAAGGTTTTACACATGTATAACCTTTACATGGTTCTTTATCTTTCTGGGAAAAGAGATTATAACACACTTCAACTATCCTGTTTTCGTTAGAAAAGCCCCATCCACGATATTTTTCGCAACAGTGCGAATTGCCGCGACGATCGAGAAGTTTGTTAGAAGAGCTATGGACACATTGACGAGCACATTCCTCGACACTTTTAGCTTCCAAACATGCCTTTGTGCAGTCCTTTTGCGACAGAGTATAGGATCCCACAATTAAGAATATAAATATTACAAGTAGTAACCGCATTTTGGCTCAGTGGATTTATAAAAGATTGGTATGTTATAAAATACTTGTTTAGTTAGGTTGGTTGGTATGGGCCAATTTTAAAAAGTCGTGCTGTACTAACACGCCATTATATATAGTGATGAGACATTGCACTAATTACGAATTCTAATGATTAAAATTAAAAAATAAATTAATTATTTAATAATTAATTTATTTAATGAAAGGGATATAATTAATTATTTAATAATTAATATATTTAATGAAAGGGATATAATTTGTGATTTTTTATTAATTTAAAATTTGCAGGTTTCTTATAGACATTGTTAATTATATAATTTAATATATTGTAATTTCTGCATATTTAAATTAGGAAAGGCGTCAGGCAAGATACTATGGTGCCGGTAGCTTATACTTGACAATCACGTGAATTTTCACTTTTCTCATAACAATTACAGAAATAAAACCAACGTATTACGATATGTTGCGCCAAAATATAGTATTTTTTTTTAAAGTACTAAAATAATTATAGACAAATTCATTTTCATTTAAAAAAACAAGCTAATAAGTTTACACATCTAAATAAGATCTGCAAGTTATTGATCAGTTTTTTTTTAAAAAAAACCAACCGATAACTTTGTAGAGCTCAATTCTGTGTATAAAGTTACCGATTAGCTTTATAAAAAATTTGCTTGTCAAAGGTTTTAACGTTTTAAAAAATATTATATTTTTGACGCAATATGTCAAATATATTATATTAGTTTTATTGGTCAATCACGATACGAGAAAATTGAAACATTTCATGTGATTTTCGATTATAATCTGCCGGCACCATATTAAAACTAATGCTAGGGAGAGCAATGCTAGTTACACATGAGACGTTAATGTTCGTATCTATAGTAAAAAAATTACGGGTACTTCATGTAGTATTCTGAAATTTTTATTGGACACGTGCGTATGCGGAATGCATAAATTGAAATGGGTCCGAAGCAGGGTACCGAAAATTCAATTGCAATTAAATTATTACACAATTACATTCAATTATATAAATTGTTACAGATAAACAATTGCAAAACAATTAATTGTGAAATTAATTGTAATTTTTACATATTAATTAGTTATAATAAGTTTATTTTTTTTAACTATTTCTTTGACGTCAAAGATCAGCAAGTTATTATGTTTACATACTGTGTCAAAAATTGCAATTAATTGACCAATTGTAGCTGCGCCACCAATCAATTAATTGAGGTCAAATAATTGCAATTAATTGCTCTCACAATTATTCAGTAGCCCTGGTCCGAAGCAATAATAATTGTTACACTGATTTCAGATCTTTCATGAGACCCGAATTTCTCAATTTTGATTAGTCTTCCTGCCAAAACATTATATAAGTCTGCATAAGTTTGCATTCAGTTTTTTTAGAAAAAAGTGTCCAAAAAATTAATTACAATTATATTATTATGTAATTACAACCAACTAAAAATTGTTTAAAAACAATTGCAATGCAATTAAATTGCGGATCATTGCAATTAATTGCAATTTTGGCTTTTACTATAAAGTTTGCTGCTGTATCATTTAGAGGTTTCAACTTTAAATACTCTATTTTGAAATCGAAAAAAAAATTAAAAAATGCCTCTATATAGTACTTGTTCGAAACTTTTGCGCGCATTGACTTAGAGTGTTATTTCGATATGTGCTTCGAAAAAATGTAAATTATGCAGGTCATTAAAAAAAACAAAAGGGAAAAAAGAACTAATTTGATAGCTTGATCTTTTTTATTCAATTACGTATAAGGTTATTTTTTTAAGCTAAAATTTCTGACGTTAAAGATCAGCAAGTATACTTTTATTGGCTGGAGCTGAGGGGAGTGAAGTGAAAGCCTTCAAGCTATACT